GCCGCTTTTCAAAGGCAGCTCGCATTGGCTGCAGGTGGAAGCTGCGATTTGACTGCCACACACAGGGGCAGTAACACACATACACAGGCACACACACGCACACACACACACACACACACACACAACCACACACATACGCACACACACATACGTACAGACAGAAGGGGACAACGTGCAAGGATTATGTAAACAAAAATAAGTTGATTCGCTCCCGCTAGAGCAGCAGCTGCTACTGCCTGTCATTCAGTCAGTTTGTCATTTTGTCATTTTGTCAGTCTGTCACTTTGATGAGATGTCTTTGCTCTGACCCCTCTCTGACCCCGTGCAAGTCACTATACCTCAATGGGTGCAATCACCCACACAAATTACATGTAATCTTAATAACAAAAACGCGAAAAAAACACCATCGCACAGTTAAGAGTGTGTGTGTGTGAGGGTGGGTGGGTGGTTTGATTAGTTGCCCTAATGCAACTCAATCTGTAGCCGCTTTGCAATCTGTTTGCGTGCCGAGCGTCAATTGCCGACCGTGGAGCAGTCTAAAAAGTGACAACAACAACAACAACAACAATAACGGACATGAAGTGCTTTTTAATTTACAACAATTATTAAATAATTGGTAATGCAACAAATCTCTGTTAATTAGCGCACAAAACGCACACCAATTGTCCCTCAAAAACATTTGCAATTAAATGCCGCGAGAATTTCTATTAGCCGAAATATTTTTATGATATTTATAGCTTCGTTTTGTAATGGTGGTGAGGTTCGGGTTCAGTTTTTGCCTTTCGTTTGGCCATCTACCAAAAATAAAAACAAACGGCCGTGGCTGTTGCCTAACCGGGTGCATAGGGATTGGAGGTTCGCACTTCTTGCTAATACTCGGACAATAGCTCGTCGGACTGGTCGGGGTTTTTTCCTTTCCCTTTTGCACTTACCATAAACACATAGTTTAAGTGCGATCAAAAAAAATAAAAAAAAAACTTATTGATTTAAGTAAATCCATTGAAACAAAAAAAAACCGGATTCTAGTATGGGTACCATTAATGTGTTCCGACCGAACACCCAAATTCAAACTATTCAATTTCGCGTAAGTGAGAGAACTAAGGTGTTGATCGTCTCTCTTTCTCTTTACCCTCCCTACCTTGACAAGCAAAAAAAAAAAATGGAATGTGGATGCTTGTCCCTATTTCAGGTTCTTAAACCATCACTATAAATTGCAAGCGGCTAACATGGGTACTTGACAGATAAAACAATTAATTATGGAATTAGGATATCATATCATATAAGCTAATATAATTCGTTTATTCACGCATTGTTCAATTTTGTTGCCAATTAATAGCAAGGTGAGTATAACTCTATTTACAAGAAAAAATATACAGTTTCCAAACAAAATTTGAATCCAAAGTTAATATGATGAATGTGCAATAACTAGTTTAAATCCCATAAAGAAATTAAGGGGAAGGAGAAATTCACCAACATTATCTTGAGACTTGACGGATAGTAATTAATTTACCGTCTTGCTAAATTAACTGCATTTAAATGTTCATGTGTGTATATAACTACGTATATCTATAGGCATTGGTTTAAACTCTTACTCACGCGATATCCTTCGAAGCAGACGTTGGGCCCAATGTATACGACGATTATGATCGCTGTTGCTAAATATTACAAAAGAAATTTATAAGTATATAAACACATGTATATATATATATATATATATATATATATATATGAGCAACGGTCAAGGTCGGTGGTGTAGGAATTTCCTCTCGCTTTAACTTATTTAGGCATATTCATTGCACATTTTGTTTTAAAGAAATTAGTAAAAGAAAAAAAAAATTAAAGGAAATAAAAATTAAAACTAAGGATCTATTAGCCGTCCATCTTGGCAACGTTAAACAATTAATGGAATTATATGGCAATGCTGCTAAGCAAGCGAAAGGGGTACACCAAAAGTAATACAGACTCGGCTCCTTTGTTACTCTCTGCAGGTTACACTATATGCTTAGTGCATGCGGTCCCGATGGTGCTGCATAAATAGTAAGCGTTTCACCCGCTTGACGCCGTTTTCCGAGGCTATGCCAGATGTTGTTCTTCGCAAGACAGCGGCTGATAAGTAAAATAGCAACAAAATTGGTTCTGCTGGGTTGCTAAGTGCGACACGTGCTCTTGGTGTTGCCCTTGTCTGGTCCGATCTCCCCCTCTGGTAGTGCCGACTAGTACGTCTAAATCTAGTCAACTGAGCAGGCACGGAAACTGTGGAAGCCTTAATTAGTTCCAAGTCTCAACACTAGCACATATAAATACCTTTTCTTTAAGGGTCACCCCGAATCACAATTAGGTTAGTGGGTCGAGTTGTTATGAAGGTTTTTGGTTTCTATTAGCGTACCAAAAGAACACTTCCAAACTGTACCACAATTGCAGCCTTGGTCGTTGATGTCTTTGCAAAAATTATTTGCAAAGAAAGAAAAAATGTTATGAACTTAACTCGCACGCGCTTCAAATATATCTGACATGCTGAGCTGTACTTTTAACCTTTACTACTTCCCAACGACAAAAAAAATAAGGAAGCTTTCAAAAGCTCTACATCACGCGATTATATTTTAAAACGGTACTATGGCCTGATCTTATCACCTTTTTCCTCTCTATTCGCCCTATTCGGTTGCGCATGCCCTCAGCTGTGCAATAAACGAAGAATTGGCTTCCAGCGCGGTCGGTAAAGCAGTAACTAAACTAGAGCAGCTGATCAACAAGCAGATTCGTTTGGGGAGTGCAAAGCAGCCACTACACCACAGTTTATGCAGCGCTACTTGCTAGCGGGACATAAACTGAAATAACTATAATAACTGTTGAGTTAGAACTTGTTACTAGTTTGTATATCTTTGAGATGAAAAGTACCGATGCATTTACCTGTTTCATTAGCTAGTTGATAGTAGGCTGGGCTGACTTTTTGTACAACAATCGCCGGAATGAAAACTGGTGCAAGCTTAGAACTAAACTTCTTTTGCGCGTTACTCTGACAAAAATTGCGGGCGAAGACTTTCGTACCGGCAGTAAGACTTATGTTTCGGCTGCGCAAATTATATATCTTAGCATTTCTATTATGTGACTGAGCTACATTGTCTTTAGCTATCTGACGGATTACTTGTAAGGCTGTGGGCCTCTCAATAGCAGTGTCTTCGGACAAGAGGTTAAGTCGCTTTAGCAAGTCATAGTCTTTACCGTTTAACATCATATTCTGTCCAAACGCTAAAAAATATGGAGAGTACCCTGTACTTTGGTGAACGCTGGCTCTCAAGGCAGCACAAATGGCGTACAGCTTTTTATCCCAATTTGAATGATCTTTTCCGATATAGGCTCTAATAGCCGCTAATACTGATCTATTTACTCGCTCACTCGCATTACTTTGTGGCGAGTATATTGCCGTTCGAATGTGGATGATTCCATACCGGGTAAGAAAAGCTTTAAAGACACTAGAAATGAACTGAGAGCCATTGTCGGTCAGAATAGTTTCTGGCACGCCGAAAGTGCAAAACAGTGTGTTTTCTAGATAGTCGATAATTTTGTTGGTAGTAAACGCGCGAAGAGGCCACATAAAATGAAATTTAGTATTGTGGTCTACAACCATCAGGAGACCTATATTGCCGTTCTTGGACCGAGGATATGGCCCTAGAAGATCCATGTAGAGCTTCTGAAATGGCCGTTCTGACGTCATAGGCTTGCCCATTGGAGGTCTCAACACTACATTGGGGCTTTTCGTTTGCCGACAAACTTTACAATTGACTATATATTCATGAATTTGGGCCGACATTTTTGGCCAAAACAAGTATCTCTTGAGTTTCTCTATTGTTTTTCCGATGCCACTGTGTGCAGCGTTAGGGGGATTGTGGGCTCTCTCTATCACTTGTAGGGTGAGAGACGAAGGTATCCAGAGTTTCCAGGATTGTTTCTCCTGAATGCTATATCCCGTCGCTGGCTCAGTACGTTTATATATAAAACCGTCGATTATCTGTAAATCCGGTAATCTGGATTGGTTAGAAGAAATACTGTCTATCAGATCCAGATAGTTTGGCGATTTGAATTCGGGTGAAGACAGGTCAACTATGGGACCTTGCTCCTCGAATTCCGCAAGCTCTGTCTCATTTTGACGCGATAGCGCATCAGCGACAACATTTTGTGTACCGCTACGATGCGAGACTTTAAACTTGAAGCCCTGTAATTTGATCACCCATCTACCTTGACGTCCTCTGAGATCCTTCTGTCTCATGAGCCATTGTAAGGAAGCATGATCAGTTATTACTTCGAAGTCCTGTCCTTCTATATACGCTCTAAATTTAAAAATACCTCTTATTACGGCTAAGCATTCCAGATCGGTCACACTATAATTCCGTTGGGCCTTTGACAGTTTCTCTGACATGTATGCTATTGGAGCCTCCTCTTCCTGTTCATTTAGTTGAGCTAGAACGCATCCTAAACCAGTTGTGCTAGCATCGCAAACTAATCTAAAAGGTTTTGAGAAGTCGGGTGTAGCCAATACAGGTGCAGAAGTTAAAAGTGTTTTTAAGGTGTTGAAAGCGGAATCAGCATCAGTGTTCCATTTCAATACTTTCGATTTCTTTAGCAACTCTGTAAGCGGAAAGCTAACTGTTGCATAATGATTAACGAAACGTCTATACCATCCAGCGAGTCCAAGAAAACGTCTCAGTTGTTTTACACTTTTTGGTACAGGGAATTCGTTAATAGCTTGTATTTTGCTAGGGTCCGTCTTTAGTTGACCATACCCAATTATAAAGCCCAAATATTTAATTTCCCGCATACAAAATTTTGATTTTGCGATGTTGATTGTCAAGTTCGCTTTACGCAAGTGCAGCGCTACTTCCTGCAAAAGCAACATATGCGAATCGAAGTCCTCTGATAGCAGAAGTAAATCATCTAAGTAGACAAATACGCGGGTCCGCAAATGGGCTGGTATCACGCGTTCCATTAGTCTACAAAGCGTTTGAGGAGCGTTACACAATCCAAACGGCATTACTTTGTATTGAAATAATGGACGATTAGGGACTGTAAAAGCGGTATACTGACGTGATTTTTCTTCTAGGGGTATCTGCCAGAATGCGTGCTTCATATCGAGGCCCGTTATATATTTAGCCGGCGGCAGACGACTAAGAATTCCGTCGATATGGGGTAGAGGGTACGCATCTTTACGAGTGTACTTATTTATGACTCGAGAATCTAGACACAGCCTGTTTTTATCCTTTCTTTGCACAAGGACGCAGTTGCTGCTCCAGGGGCTATGCGATACCTCTATTATATCTAAAGCTAGCATTTTCTCGATCTCGTCAAACATTAGCTTTTCAACGGCTGGCGAAATAGGCCAATGTCTTTGTTTGACGGGGGTCACATTATCTATTTCAATGCGATGTTCGATTAACTCAGTGCGTCCTAATCCTTCCTTTTCATAAGAATAGAAATTAGAAATGATCGAATTTAATCGTGACTTTTCTTCAGCGGTTAGCTGATGCATTTTCGCTGTTTCCTGGATATCCTGTTCGTTACTGTTGTCTAATTCATTTACGGACTCATCAGGACGAATTAAATTCGTTAACAGTCCAAAGTCCTGCCAAAAATTTATGCCTAAGTAAACATCTTGTTTCAAATCGGGTATAACATAAAAATCAACATTATGCACTTGTTTTCGAAATTCAACTTTAAGTGTCAGTTTGCCTACCACTGGGCAAATAGCGTTGTTAGCTGTTCGGATTGATCCAGAGCATTTGCGCGCTTTGGGATGTGACAACAGTGACTTAGCTGCAACATTACCGAGGCAACTAATCGTCGCTCCGGAATCTAATAATGCTACATATTTTTCTCCCTCTAGGCTTAACTCAGTGTACAAGCGGTTATCTGAGCTCATAAACACTGATTGAACGAGCTTCTTACGAAGACTTTTAATATTTTTCCAGAATTTCCTAAGTCGAACAGTAGAGCGTTTTGGCCGACTGAGAAATTCGATGGGTTCTATGCTGCTAAAAATTCGTCTTCGTGTGTCAAGATAGTGTTTTACTCTAATATGGTACGGTACGTACTTATTTTCAATATCAGTTTGAGTTGCAGTCTCGGCGACTGAACATGTATTTGCCATATAAGTTGTAAATATAGTATTTGGAGTTGATTGCTCCAAACTACCATATGACTGTATTTCTGGCAAGGACTTTATTCTTTTGTGGGATGCGTCAAACTGGTGTTGGTCTGCGCATCCCGCTTCCGGTTTCCCAAAAGATTGCATTTGCTACAATTGGGTTTAAAAGTATTTTTAGCACCGCAACCGTAGCAGAATATACGCCTTTCTCCCATGCAGTCATCGAATCGGTGTCCCACTTTATCGCAATTCCAGCACACTATTTTCTTGTTCTGTATTTCTGAAATATTATCTTCTATATCATTATTTTCCAGTAACTCAGAGACATTACCTCTACCGTATTTGGTTCGATTGGGAAACGAGCCAGTTTCTCTACAGAAACTTTCATGTTTCTTAACTTCCTCTCTTAATTCTGCTCGAGTTCTAATCTTCAAATGCAATAGTTCGTACCTGAGCGCTGTTCTCGCATTGCGTTTTAATAGGTCAACAAGCTTGTCTTCGCTTATTTCGTTAGATAATTGGCTAACCAGGCCTTCAATCGCTGATTGAAAATCATCAAATGTCTCCTGATCTTTCTGGCGTCTTTTCCTAATTAGTTCCCACAAGTCAAAGTCGTCTTTAACGTCCTCGAATCTAAGTCGGAAATCCGTACAGAAAGCCAACCAGGTATACTGTGGGTTTTTCTTGTGGAAGCTCCAAAACCAATCATTGGCTTTCCCGAAGAAAAGTAAATGAAGATTGTCACAAAGCAGCCTATAGTCGCCGTTCAAATTTTGAGCCGTTAATGAACGAATTCGATACAAGAATTCATCTATCTGCATAGAGTCTTTCGAACCGTCAAATTTAAGTCGCCAGGTTTGCATAATGCTAGCTGCTTTTTCTGAACTCAAACTTGAGTTTGATCGATTGCTACCTCTGGGGCTGTATGGTCCGCAGTCAAGGGGTATGTCAGAGTTCTGGGCACTATTAGGGAGAGTATCAGCACCTAATCCCCTTGGAGACTGAACTAATCTAGAGCGTGTTGATTCAGCTTGCTCACTTCGTACATTTAATGTTGCTAACTTCTCTTGCAGTGATTGTTCAACAGAAGCTTTAATAACGTTTTTGAGTTCTGCTATTAAAGTCCTTTGCTGAGATTGTAGAGCTTCGTTGATATAGGTAATTGTCTCTACATTTGGACCATTGTCCACTGACTTATTTCCGTTGCTGCCTAAAGACATGCAACTACCTAAATATTCTCTATGATTTCGATTCATAGACCTAGTTTGCATACTTCGCTTGGGCGTGGCTCCTCGCCCTTTTCCGAATCGCTGACCTCTCCTGATACCTGTAGTAGTCGAACCATCTTGGCAAGGTAGAGTATTTCGCGATAGAGTTTCGTCTGTTTCAGCATTACCAGCTGAGTGTAACTCCGCTGCCAGTGTATTGTTCATAAATATTAGTTGCCCTGGGTTGCAATCTGCCTCACATACTGGACATTTTGGGGTTGTCTTTAGTGTATTGCTTATGCAAACGTCGTGAAAACGGTGTTGACAAGGAGTAGTCGCAGATAGCTGTTCTGCTTGCAATTGCTCATGGCAAATGCCACAAAATGGATCTTGCGCGTTAATCGCTGCAACTATGCTCTCTGTGCTTCGTCTCACTGCCATAATGAATGCAAACTTTTGCTTGTTTCCAAACAACAAAAGGAAAACTAAATAGGACTTGTATTATTAAGTCTTGGTTATTTATTCTATCTGTCTTTTTCCCACACGTTATTGCTTACAATCCTTAAGCAAACCTGAGTAGTTGAATTTGTGCTATTTATTTTACTGGAGTCTATTTCTGATTTGGATTTTTACTGCTCATGGACTACTAGACAACATCCGAAATATTTCCAGTTTGTTGTAATTCCAAATAGTCCTTGAAACAATTAACCCAAATTTGATTATTATTCCCTCTTTTCCGATCTTACCCGCTGCTTAAAGTACTAGTAATTAATTGTGGTCGACTAATCCAGCAATGCCTGAATTACAATCGCAAATTCCTACAACTAACTACTGTCTGAACACAACGTATTTTCCCGAGAAAGGGGCCTAACAGGGTAATTAAAAAAAATAATAGGTAGTAATTGATATGGTATAACTTCGAGTTTCGATTGGGGATTGTTGTGCACTAGGTGTTAGTCGTGCTTACGCAAGAAGTAAAAGTTTTACGTTCTTGCTAGGGTCCCACGTGTTGGGCGCCATATATGTAATGGTGGGGGAGGTTCGGGTTCAGTTTTTTTGCCTTTCGTTTGGCCATCTACCAAAAATAAAAAAACAAACGGCCGTGGCTGTTGCCTAACCGGGTGCATAGGGATTGGAGGTTCGCACTTCTTGCTAATACTCGGACAATAGCTCGTCGGACTGGTCGGGGTTTTTTCCTTTCCCTTTTGCACTTACCATAAACACATAGTTTAAGTGCGATCAAAAAAAATAAAAAAAAACTTATTGATTTAAGTAAATCCATTGAAACAAAAAAAAACCGGATTCTAGTATGGGTACCATTAATGTGTTCCGACCGAACACCCAAATTCAAACTATTCAATTTCGCGTAAGTGAGAGAACTAAGGTGTTGATCGTCTCTCTTTCTCTTTACCCTCCCTACCTTGACAAGCAAAAAAAAAATGGAATGTGGATGCTTGTCCCTATTTCAGGTTCTTAAACCATCACTATAAATTGCAAGCGGCTAACATGGGTACTTGACAGATAAAACAATTAATTATGGAATTAGGATATCATATCATATAAGCTAATATAATTCGTTTATTCACGCATTGTTCAATTTTGTTGCCAATTAATAGCAAGGTGAGTATAACTCTATTTACAAGAAAAAATATACAGTTTCCAAACAAAATTTGAATCCAAAGTTAATATGATGAATGTGCAATAACTAGTTTAAATCCCATAAAGAAATTAAGGGGAAGGAGAAATTCACCAACATTATCTTGAGACTTGACGGATAGTAATTAATTTACCGTCTTGCTAAATTAACTGCATTTAAATGTTCATGTGTGTATATAATTACATATATCTATAGGCATTGGTTTAAACTCTTACTCACGCGATATCCTTCGAAGCAGACGTTGGGCCCAATGTATACGACGATTATGATCGCTGTTGCTAAATATTACAAAAGAAATTTATAAGTATATAAACACATGTATACATATATATATATATATATATATATATATATGAGCAACGGTCAAGGTCGGTGGTGTAGGAATTTCCTCTCGCTTCAACTTATTTAGGCATATTCATTGCACATTTTGTTTTAAAGAAATTAGTAAAAGAAAAAAAAAAAATTAAAGGAAATAAAAATTAAAACTAAGGATCTATTAGCCGTCCATCTTGGCAACGTTAAACAATTAATGGAATTATATGGCAATGCTGCTAAGCAAGCGAAAGGGGTACACCAAAAAGTAATACAGACTCGGCTCCTTTGTTACTCTCTGCAGGTTACACTATATGCTTAGTGCATGCGGTCCCGATGGTGCTGCATAAATAGTAAGCGTTTCACCCGCTTGACGCCGTTTTCCGAGGCTATGCCAGATGTTGTTCTTCGCAAGACAGCGGCTGATAAGTAAAATAGCAACAAAATTGGTTCTGCTGGGTTGCTAAGTGCGACACGTGCTCTTGGTGTTGCCCTTGTCTGGTCCGATCTCCCCCTCTGGTAGTGCCGACTAGTACGTCTAAATCTAGTCAACTGAGCAGGCACGGAAACTGTGGAAGCCTTAATTAGTTCCAAGTCTCAACACTAGCACATATAAATACCTTTTCTTTAAGGGTCACCCCGAATCACAATTAGGTTAGTGGGTCGAGTTGTTATGAAGGTTTTTGGTTTCTATTAGCGTACCAAAAGAACACTTCCAAACTGTACCACAATTGCAGCCTTGGTCGTTGATGTCTTTGCAAAAATTATTTGCAAAGAAAGAAAAAATGTTATGAACTTAACTCGCACGCGCTTCAAATATATCTGACATGCTAAGCTGTACTTTTAACCTTTACTACTTCCCAACGACAAAAAAAATAAGGAAGCTTTCAAAAGCTCTACATCACGCGATTATATTTTAAAACGGTACTATGGCCTGATCTTATCACCTTTTTCCTCTCTATTCGCCCTATTCGGTTGCGCATGCCCTCAGCTGTGCAATAAACGAAGAATTGGCTTCCAGCGCGGTCGGTAAAGCAGTAACTAAACTAGAGCAGCTGATCAACAAGCAGATTCGTTTGGGGAGTGCAAAGCAGCCACTACACCACAGTTTATGCAGCGCTACTTGCTAGCGGGACATAAACTGAAATAACTATAATAACTGTTGAGTTAGAACTTGTTACTAGTTTGTATATCTTTGAGATGAAAAGTACCGATGCATTTACCTGTTTCATTAGCTAGTTGATAGTAGGCTGGGCTGACTTTTTGTACAACAATCGCCGGAATGAAAACTGGTGCAAGCTTAGAACTAAACTTCTTTTGCGCGTTACTCTGACAAAAATTGCGGGCGAAGACTTTCGTACCGGCAGTAAGACTTATGTTTCGGCTGCGCAAATTATATATCTTAGCATTTCTATTATGTGACTGAGCTACATTGTCTTTAGCTATCTGACGGATTACTTGTAAGGCTGTGGGCCTCTCAATAGCAGTGTCTTCGGACAAGAGGTTAAGTCGCTTTAGCAAGTCATAGTCTTTACCGTTTAACATCATATTCTGTCCAAACGCTAAAAAATATGGAGAGTACCCTGTACTTTGGTGAACGCTGGCTCTCAAGGCAGCACAAATGGCGTACAGCTTTTTATCCCAATTTGAATGATCTTTTCCGATATAGGCTCTAATAGCCGCTAATACTGATCTATTTACTCGCTCACTCGCATTACTTTGTGGCGAGTATATTGCCGTTCGAATGTGGATGATTCCATACCGGGTAAGAAAAGCTTTAAAGACACTAGAAATGAACTGAGAGCCATTGTCGGTCAGAATAGTTTCTGGCACGCCGAAAGTGCAAAACAGTGTGTTTTCTAGATAGTCGATAATTTTGTTGGTAGTAAACGCGCGAAGAGGCCACATAAAATGAAATTTAGTATTGTGGTCTACAACCATCAGGAGACCTATATTGCCGTTCTTGGACCGAGGATATGGCCCTAGAAGATCCATGTAGAGCTTCTGAAATGGCCGTTCTGACGTCATAGGCTTGCCCATTGGAGGTCTCAACACTACATTGGGGCTTTTCGTTTGCCGACAAACTTTACAATTGACTATATATTCATGAATTTGGGCCGACATTTTTGGCCAAAACAAGTATCTCTTGAGTTTCTCTATTGTTTTTCCGATGCCACTGTGTGCAGCGTTAGGGGGATTGTGGGCTCTCTCTATCACTTGTAGGGTGAGAGACGAAGGTATCCAGAGTTTCCAGGATTGTTTCTCCTGAATGCTATATCCCGTCGCTGGCTCAGTACGTTTATATATAAAACCGTCGATTATCTGTAAATCCGGTAATCTGGATTGGTTAGAAGAAATACTGTCTATCAGATCCAGATAGTTTGGCGATTTGAATTCGGGTGAAGACAGGTCAACTATGGGACCTTGCTCCTCGAATTCCGCAAGCTCTGTCTCATTTTGACGCGATAGCGCATCAGCGACAACATTTTGTGTACCGCTACGATGCGAGACTTTAAACTTGAAGCCCTGTAATTTGATCACCCATCTACCTTGACGTCCTCTGAGATCCTTCTGTCTCATGAGCCATTGTAAGGAAGCATGATCAGTTATTACTTCGAAGTCCTGTCCTTCTATATACGCTCTAAATTTAAAAATACCTCTTATTACGGCTAAGCATTCCAGATCGGTCACACTATAATTCCGTTGGGCCTTTGACAGTTTCTCTGACATGTATGCTATTGGAGCCTCCTCTTCCTGTTCATTTAGTTGAGCTAGAACGCATCCTAAACCAGTTGTGCTAGCATCGCAAACTAATCTAAAAGGTTTTGAGAAGTCGGGTGTAGCCAATACAGGTGCAGAAGTTAAAAGTGTTTTTAAGGTGTTGAAAGCGGAATCAGCATCAGTGTTCCATTTCAATACTTTCGATTTCTTTAGCAACTCTGTAAGCGGAAAGCTAACTGTTGCATAATGATTAACGAAACGTCTATACCATCCAGCGAGTCCAAGAAAACGTCTCAGTTGTTTTACACTTTTTGGTACAGGGAATTCGTTAATAGCTTGTATTTTGCTAGGGTCCGTCTTTAGTTGACCATACCCAATTATAAAGCCCAAATATTTAATTTCCCGCATACAAAATTTTGATTTTGCGATGTTGATTGTCAAGTTCGCTTTACGCAAGTGCAGCGCTACTTCCTGCAAAAGCAACATATGCGAATCGAAGTCCTCTGATAGCAGAAGTAAATCATCTAAGTAGACAAATACGCGGGTCCGCAAATGGGCTGGTATCACGCGTTCCATTAGTCTACAAAGCGTTTGAGGAGCGTTACACAATCCAAACGGCATTACTTTGTATTGAAATAATGGACGATTAGGGACTGTAAAAGCGGTATACTGACGTGATTTTTCTTCTAGGGGTATCTGCCAGAATGCGTGCTTCATATCGAGGCCCGTTATATATTTAGCCGGCGGCAGACGACTAAGAATTCCGTCGATATGGGGTAGAGGGTACGCATCTTTACGAGTGTACTTATTTATGACTCGAGAATCTAGACACAGCCTGTTTTTATCCTTTCTTTGCACAAGGACGCAGTTGCTGCTCCAGGGGCTATGCGATACCTCTATTATATCTAAAGCTAGCATTTTCTCGATCTCGTCAAACATTAGCTTTTCAACGGCTGGCGAAATAGGCCAATGTCTTTGTTTGACGGGGGTCACATTATCTATTTCAATGCGATGTTCGATTAACTCAGTGCGTCCTAATCCTTCCTTTTCATAAGAATAGAAATTAGAAATGATCGAATTTAATCGTGACTTTTCTTCAGCGGTTAGCTGATGCATTTTCGCTGTTTCCTGGATATCCTGTTCGTTACTGTTGTCTAATTCATTTACGGACTCATCAGGACGAATTAAATTCGTTAACAGTCCAAAGTCCTGCCAAAAATTTATGCCTAAGTAAACATCTTGTTTCAAATCGGGTATAACATAAAAATCAACATTATGCACTTGTTTTCGAAATTCAACTTTAAGTGTCAGTTTGCCTACCACTGGGCAAATAGCGTTGTTAGCTGTTCGGATTGATCCAGAGCATTTGCGCGCTTTGGGATGTGACAACAGTGACTTAGCTGCAACATTACCGAGGCAACTAATCGTCGCTCCGGAATCTAATAATGCTACATATTTTTCTCCCTCTAGGCTTAACTCAGTGTACAAGCGGTTATCTGAGCTCATAAACACTGATTGAACGAGCTTCTTACGAAGACTTTTAATATTTTTCCAGAATTTCCTAAGTCGAACAGTAGAGCGTTTTGGCCGACTGAGAAATTCGATGGGTTCTATGCTGCTAAAAATTCGTCTTCGTGTGTCAAGATAGTGTTTTACTCTAATATGGTACGGTACGTACTTATTTTCAATATCAGTTTGAGTTGCAGTCTCGGCGACTGAACATGTATTTGCCATATAAGTTGTAAATATAGTATTTGGAGTTGATTGCTCCAAACTACCATATGACTGTATTTCTGGCAAGGACTTTATTCTTTTGTGGGATGCGTCAAACTGGTGTTGGTCTGCGCATCCCGCTTCCGGTTTCCCAAAAGATTGCATTTGCTACAATTGGGTTTAAAAGTATTTTTAGCACCGCAACCGTAGCAGAATATACGCCTTTCTCCCATGCAGTCATCGAATCGGTGTCCCACTTTATCGCAATTCCAGCACACTATTTTCTTGTTCTGTATTTCTGAAATATTATCTTCTATATCATTATTTTCCAGTAACTCAGAGACATTACCTCTACCGTATTTGGTTCGATTGGGAAACGAGCCAGTTTCTCTACAGAAACTTTCATGTTTCTTAACTTCCTCTCTTAATTCTGCTCGAGTTCTAATCTTCAAATGCAATAGTTCGTACCTGAGCGCTGTTCTCGCATTGCGTTTTAATAGGTCAACAAGCTTGTCTTCGCTTATTTCGTTAGATAATTGGCTAACCAGGCCTTCAATCGCTGATTGAAAATCATCAAATGTCTCCTGATCTTTCTGGCGTCTTTTCCTAATTAGTTCCCACAAGTCAAAGTCGTCTTTAACGTCCTCGAATCTAAGTCGGAAATCCGTACAGAAAGCCAACCAGGTATACTGTGGGTTTTTCTTGTGGAAGCTCCAAAACCAATCATTGGCTTTCCCGAAGAAAAGTAAATGAAGATTGTCACAAAGCAGCCTATAGTCGCCGTTCAAATTTTGAGCCGTTAATGAACGAATTCGATACAAGAATTCATCTATCTGCATAGAGTCTTTCGAACCGTCAAATTTAAGTCGCCAGGTTTGCATAATGCTAGCTGCTTTTTCTGAACTCAAACTTGAGTTTGATCGATTGCTACCTCTGGGGCTGTATGGTCCGCAGTCAAGGGGTATGTCAGAGTTCTGGGCACTATTAGGGAGAGTATCAGCACCTAATCCCCTTGGAGACTGAACTAATCTAGAGCGTGTTGATTCAGCTTGCTCACTTCGTACATTTAATGTTGCTAACTTCTCTTGCAGTGATTGTTCAACAGAAGCTTTAATAACGTTTTTGAGTTCTGCTATTAAAGTCCTTTGCTGAGATTGTAGAGCTTCGTTGATATAGGTAATTGTCTCTACATTTGGACCATTGTCCACTGACTTATTTCCGTTGCTGCCTAAAGACATGCAACTACCTAAATATTCTCTATGATTTCGATTCATAGACCTAGTTTGCATACTTCGCTTGGGCGTGGCTCCTCGCCCTTTTCCGAATCGCTGACCTCTCCTGATACCTGTAGTAGTCGAACCATCTTGGCAAGGTAGAGTATTTCGCGATAGAGTTTCGTCTGTTTCAGCATTACCAGCTGAGTGTAACTCCGCTGCCAGTGTATTGTTCATAAATATTAGTTGCCCTGGGTTGCAATCTGCCTCACATACTGGACATTTTGGGGTTGTCTTTAGTGTATTGCTTATGCAAACGTCGTGAAAACGGTGTTGACAAGGAGTAGTCGCAGATAGCTGTTCTGCTTGCAATTGCTCATGGCAAATGCCACAAAATGGATCTTGCGCGTTAATCGCTGCAACTATGCTCTCTGTGCTTCGTCTCACTGCCATAATGAATGCAAACTTTTGCTTGTTTCCAAACAACAAAAGGAAAACTAAATAGGACTTGTATTATTAAGTCTTGGTTATTTATTCTATCTGTCTTTTTCCCACACGTTATTGCTTACAATCCTTAAGCAAACCTGAGTAGTTGAATTTGTGCTATTTATTTTACTGGAGTCTATTTCTGATTTGGATTTTTACTGCTCATGGACTACTAGACAACATCCGAAATATTTCCAGTTTGTTGTAATTCCAAATAGTCCTTGAAACAATTAACCCAAATTTGATTATTATTCCCTCTTTTCCGATCTTACCCGCTGCTTAAAGTACTAGTAATTAATTGTGGTCGACTAATCCAGCAATGCCTGAATTACAATCGCAAATTCCTACAACTAACTACTGTCTGAACACAACGTATTTTCCCGAGAAAGGGGCCTAACAGGGTAATTAAAAAATAATAGGTAGTAATTGATATGGTATAACTTCGAGTTTCGATTGGGGATTGTTGTGCACTAGGTGTTAGTCGTGCTTACGCAAGAAGTAAAAGTTTTACGTTCTTGCTAGGGTCCCACGTGTTGGGCGCCATATATGTAATGGTGGGAAGGTTCGGTACGTACTTATTTTCAATATCAGTTTGAGTTGCAGTCTCGGCGACTGAACATGTATTTGCCATATAAGTTGTAAATATAGTATTTGGAGTTGATTGCTCCAAACTACCATATGACTGTATTTCTGGCAAGGACTTTATTCTTTTGTGGGATGCGTCAAACTGGTGTTGGTCTGCGCATCCCGCTTCCGGTTTCCCAAAAGATTGCATTTGCTACAATTGGGTTTAAAAGTATTTTTAGCACCGCAACCGTAGCAGAATATACGCCTTTCTCCCATGCAGTCATCGAATCGGTGTCCCACTTTATCGCAATTCCAGCACACTATTTTCTTGTTCTGTATTTCTGAAATATTATCTTCTATATCATTATTTTCCAGTAACTCAGAGACATTACCTCTACCGTATTTGGTTCGATTGGGAAACGAGCCAGTTTCTCTACAGAAACTTTCATGTTTCTTAACTTCCTCTCTTAATTCTGCTCGAGTTCTAATCTTCAAATGCAATAGTTCGTACCTGAGCGCTGTTCTCGCATTGCGTTTTAATAGGTCAACAAGCTTGTCTTCGCTTATTTCGTTAGATAATTGGCTAACCAGGCCTTCAATCGCTGATTGAAAATCATCAAATGTCTCCTGATCTTTCTGGCGTCTTTTCCTAATTAGTTCCCACAAGTCAAAGTCGTCTTTAACGTCCTCGAATCTAAGTCGGAAATCCGTACAGAAAGCCAACCAGGTATACTGTGGGTTTTTCTTGTGGAAGCTCCAAAACCAATCATTGGCTTTCCCGAAGAAAAGTAAATGAAGATTGTCACAAAGCAGCCTATAGTCGCCGTTCAAATTTTGAGCCGTTAATGAACGAATTCGATACAAGAATTCATCTATCTGCATAGAGTCTTTCGAACCGTCAAATTTAAGTCGCCAGGTTTGCATAATGCTAGCTGCTTTTTCTGAACTCAAACTTGAGTTTGATCGATTGCTACCTCTGGGGCTGTATGGTCCGCAGTCAAGGGGTATGTCAGAGTTCTGGGCACTATTAGGGAGAGTATCAGCACCTAATCCCCTTGGAGACTGAACTAATCTAGAGCGTGTTGATTCAGCTTGCTCACTTCGTACATTTAATGTTGCTAACTTCTCTTGCAGTGATTGTTCAACAGAAGCTTTAATAACGTTTTTGAGTTCTGCTATTAAAGTCCTTTGCTGAGATTGTAGAGCTTCGTTGATATAGGTAATTGTCTCTACATTTGGACCATTGTCCACTGACTTATTTCCGTTGCTGCCTAAAGACATGCAACTACCTAAATATTCTCTATGATTTCGATTCATAGACCTAGTTTGCATACTTCGCTTGGGCGTGGCTCCTCGCCCTTTTCCGAATCGCTGACCTCTCCTGATACCTGTAGTAGTCGAACCATCTTGGCAAGGTAGAGTATTTCGCGATAGAGTTTCGTCTGTTTCAGCATTACCAGCTGAGTGTAACTCCGCTGCCAGTGTATTGTTCATAAATATTAGTTGCCCTGGGTTGCAATCTGCCTCACATACTGGACATTTTGGGGTTGTCTTTAGTGTATTGCTTATGCAAACGTCGTGAAAACGGTGTTGACAAGGAGTAGTCGCAGATAGCTGTTCTGCTTGCAATTGCTCATGGCAAATGCCACAAAATGGATCTTGCGCGTTAATCGCTGCAACTATGCTCTCTGTGCTTCGTCTCACTGCCATAATGAATGCAAACTTTTGCTTGTTTCCAAACAACAAAAGGAAAACTAAATAGGACTTGTATTATTAAGTCTTGGTTATTTATTCTATCTGTCTTTTTCCCACACGTTATTGCTTACAATCCTTAAGCAAACCTGAGTAGTTGAATTTGTGCTATTTATTTTACTGGAGTCTATTTCTGATTTGGATTTTTACTGCTCATGGACTACTAGACAACATCCGAAATATTTCCAGTTTGTTGTAATTCCAAATAGTCCTTGAAACAATTAACCCAAATTTGATTATTATTCCCTCTTTTCCGATCTTACCCGCTGCTTAAAGTACTAGTAATTAATTGTGGTCGACTAATCCAGCAATGCCTGAATTACAATCGCAAATTCCTACAACTAACTACTGTCTGAACACAACGTATTTTCCCGAGAAAGGGGCCTAACAGGGTAATTAAAAAATAATAGGTAGTAATTGATATGGTATAACTTCGAGTTTCGATTGGGGATTGTTGTGCACTAGGTGTTAGTCGTGCTTACGCAAGAAGTAAAAGTTTTACGTTCTTGCTAGGGCCCCACGTTGGGCGCCATATATGTAATGGTGGGGGAGGTTCGGGTTCAGTTTTTTTGCCTTTCGTTTGGCCATCTACCAAAAATAAAAAAACAAACGGCCGTGGCTGTTGCCTAACCGGGTGCATAGGGATTGGAGGTTCGCACTTCTTGCTAATACTCGGACAATAGCTCGTCGGACTGGTCGGGGTTTTTTCCTTTCCCTTTTGCACTTACCATAAACACATAGTTTAAGTGCGATCAAAAAAAATAAAAAAAAACTTATTGATTTAAGTAAATCCATTGAAACAAAAAAAAACCGGATTCTAGTATGGGTACCATTAATGTGTTCCGACCGAACACCCAAATTCAAACTATTCAATTTCGCGTAAGTGAGAGAACTAAGGTGTTGATCGTCTCTCTTTCTCTTTACCCTCCCTACCTTGACAAGCAAAAAAAAAATGGAATGTGGATGCTTGTCCCTATTTCAGGTTCTTAAACCATCACTATAAATTGCAAGCGGCTAACATGGGTACTTGACAGATAAAACAATTAATTATGGAATTAGGATATCATATCATATAAGCTAATATAATTCGTTTATTCACGCATTGTTCAATTTTGTTGCCAATTAATAGCAAGGTGAGTATAACTCTATTTACAAGAAAAAAAATATACAGTTTCCAAACAAAATTTGAATCCAAAGTTAATATGATGAATGTGCAATAACTAGTTTAAATCCCATAAAGAAATTAAGGGGAAGGAGAAATTCACCAACATTATCTTGAGACTTGACGGATAGTAATTAATTTACCGTCTTGCTAAATTAACTGCATTTAAATGTTCATGTGTGTATATAACTACATATATCTATAGGCATTGGTTTAAACTCTTACTCACGCGATATCCTTCGAAGCAGACGTTGGGCCCAATGTATACGACGATTATGATCGCTGTTGCTAAATATTACAAAAGAAATTTATAAGTATATAAACACATGTATATATATATATATATATATATATATATATATGAGCAACGGTCAAGGTCGGTGGTGTAGGAATTTCCTCTCGCTTTAACTTATTTAGGCATATTCATTGCACATTTTGTTTTAAAGAAATTAGTAAAAGAAAAAAAAAATTAAAGGAAATAAAAATTAAAACTAAGGATCTATTAGCCGTCCATCTTGGCAACGTTAAACAATTAATGGAATTATATGGCAATGCTGCTAAGCAAGCGAAAGGGGTACACCAAAAGTAATACAGACTCGGCTCCTTTGTTACTCTCTGCAGGTTACACTATATGCTTAGTGCATGCGGTCCCGATGGTGCTGCATAAATAGTAAGCGTTTCACCCGCTTGACGCCGTTTTCCGAGGCTATGCCAGATGTTGTTCTTCGCAAGACAGCGGCTGATAAGTAAAATAGCAACAAAATTGGTTCTGCTGGGTTGCTAAGTGCGACACGTGCTCTTGGTGTTGCCCTTGTCTGGTCCGATCTCCCCCTCTGGTAGTGCCGACTAGTACGTCTAAATCTAGTCAACTGAGCAGGCACGGAAACTGTGGAAGCCTTAATTAGTTCCAAGTCTCAACACTAGCACATATAAATACCTTTTCTTTAAGGGTCACCCCGAATCACAATTAGGTTAGTGGGTCGAGTTGTTATGAAGGTTTTTGGTTTCTATTAGCGTACCAAAAGAACACTTCCAAACTGTACCACAATTGCAGCCTTGGTCGTTGATGTCTTTGCAAAAATTATTTGCAAAGAAAGAAAAAAATGTTATGAACTTAACTCGCACGCGCTTCAAATATATCTGACATGCTGAGCTGTACTTTTAACCTTTACTACTTCCCAACGACAAAAAAAATAAGGAAGCTTTCAAAAGCTCTACATCACGCGATTATATTTTAAAACGGTACTATGGCCTGATCTTATCACCTTTTTCCTCTCTATTCGCCCTATTCGGTTGCGCATGCCCTCAGCTGTGCAATAAACGAAGAATTGGCTTCCAGCGCGGTCGGTAAAGCAGTAACTAAACTAGAGCAGCTGATCAACAAGCAGATTCGTTTGGGGAGTGCAAAGCAGCCACTACACCACAGTTTATGCAGCGCTACTTGCTAGCGGGACATAAACTGAAATAACTATAATAACTGTTGAGTTAGAACTTGTTACTAGTTTGTATATCTTTGAGATGAAAAGTACCGATGCATTTACCTGTTTCATTAGCTAGTTGATAGTAGGCTGGGCTGACTTTTTGTACAACAATCGCCGGAATGAAAACTGGTGCAAGCTTAGAACTAAACTTCTTTTGCGCGTTACTCTGACAAAAATTGCGGGCGAAGACTTTCGTACCGGCAGTAAGACTTATGTTTCGGCTGCGCAAATTATATATCTTAGCATTTCTATTATGTGACTGAGCTACATTGTCTTTAGCTATCTGACGGATTACTTGTAAGGCTGTGGGCCTCTCAATAGCAGTGTCTTCGGACAAGAGGTTAAGTCGCTTTAGCAAGTCATAGTCTTTACCGTTTAACATCATATTCTGTCCAAACGCTAAAAAAATATGGAGAGTACCCTGTACTTTGGTGAACGCTGGCTCTCAAGGCAGCACAAATGGCGTACAGCTTTTTATCCCAATTTGAATGATCTTTTCCGATATAGGCTCTAATAGCCGCTAATACTGATCTATTTACTCGCTCACTCGCATTACTTTGTGGCGAGTATATTGCCGTTCGAATGTGGATGATTCCATACCGGGTAAGAAAAGCTTTAAAGACACTAGAAATGAACTGAGAGCCATTGTCGGTCAGAATAGTTTCTGGCACGCCGAAAGTGCAAAACAGTGTGTTTTCTAGATAGTCGATAATTTTGTTGGTAGTAAACGCGCGAAGAGGCCACATAAAATGAAATTTAGTATTGTGGTCTACAACCATCAGGAGACCTATATTGCCGTTCTTGGACCGAGGATATGGCCCTAGAAGATCCATGTAGAGCTTCTGAAATGGCCGTTCTGACGTCATAGGCTTGCCCATTGGAGGTCTCAACACTACATTGGGGCTTTTCGTTTGCCGACAAACTTTACAATTGACTATATATTCATGAATTTGGGCCGACATTTTTGGCCAAAACAAGTATCTCTTGAGTTTCTCTATTGTTTTTCCGATGCCACTGTGTGCAGCGTTAGGGGGATTGTGGGCTCTCTCTATCACTTGTAGGGTGAGAGACGAAGGTATCCAGAGTTTCCAGGATTGTTTCTCCTGAATGCTATATCCCGTCGCTGGCTCAGTACGTTTATATATAAAACCGTCGATTATCTGTAAATCCGGTAATCTGGATTGGTTAGAAGAAATACTGTCTATCAGATCCAGATAGTTTGGCGATTTGAATTCGGGTGAAGACAGGTCAACTATGGGACCTTGCTCCTCGAATTCCGCAAGCTCTGTCTCATTTTGACGCGATAGCGCATCAGCGACAACATTTTGTGTACCGCTACGATGCGAGACTTTAAACTTGAAGCCCTGTAATTTGATCACCCATCTACCTTGACGTCCTCTGAGATCCTTCTGTCTCATGAGCCATTGTAAGGAAGCATGATCAGTTATTACTTCGAAGTCCTGTCCTTCTATATACGCTCTAAATTTAAAAATACCTCTTATTACGGCTAAGCATTCCAGATCGGTCACACTATAATTCCGTTGGGCCTTTGACAGTTTCTCTGACATGTATGCTATTGGAGCCTCCTCTTCCTGTTCATTTAGTTGAGCTAGAACGCATCCTAAACCAGTTGTGCTAGCATCGCAAACTAATCTAAAAGGTTTTGAGAAGTCGGGTGTAGCCAATACAGGTGCAGAAGTTAAAAGTGTTTTTAAGGTGTTGAAAGCGGAATCAGCATCAGTGTTCCATTTCAATACTTTCGATTTCTTTAGCAACTCTGTAAGCGGAAAGCTAACTGTTGCATAATGATTAACGAAACGTCTGTACCATCCAGCGAGTCCAAGAAAACGTCTCAGTTGTTTTACACTTTTTGGTACAGGGAATTCGTTAATAGCTTGTATTTTGCTAGGGTCCGTCTTTAGTTGACCATACCCAATTATAAAGCCCAAATATTTAATTTCCCGCATACAAAATTTTGATTTTGCGATGTTGATTGTCAAGTTCGCTTTACGCAAGTGCAGCGCTACTTCCTGCAAAAGCAACATATGCGAATCGAAGTCCTCTGATAGCAGAAGTAAATCATCTAAGTAGACAAATACGCGGGTCCGCAAATGGGCTGGTATCACGCGTTCCATTAGTCTACAAAGCGTTTGAGGAGCGTTACACAATCCAAACGGCATTACTTTGTATTGAAATAATGGACGATTAGGGACTGTAAAAGCGGTATACTGACGTGATTTTTCTTCTAGGGGTATCTGCCAGAATGCGTGCTTCATATCGAGGCCCGTTATATATTTAGCCGGCGGCAGACGACTAAGAATTCCGTCGATATGGGGTAGAGGGTACGCATCTTTACGAGTGTACTTATTTATGACTCGAGAATCTAGACACAGCCTGTTTTTATCCTTTCTTTGCACAAGGACGCAGTTGCTGCTCCAGGGGCTATGCGATACCTCTATTATATCTAAAGCTAGCATTTTCTCGATCTCGTCAAACATTAGCTTTTCAACGGCTGGCGAAATAGGCCAATGTCTTTGTTTGACGGGGGTCACATTATCTATTTCAATGCGATGTTCGATTAACTCAGTGCGTCCTAATCCTTCCTTTTCATAAGAATAGAAATTAGAAATGATCGAATTTAATCGTGACTTTTCTTCAGCGGTTAGCTGATGCATTTTCGCTGTTTCCTGGATATCCTGTTCGTTACTGTTGTCTAATTCATTTACGGACTCATCAGGACGAATTAAATTCGTTAACAGTCCAAAGTCCTGCCAAAAATTTATGCCTAAGTAAACATCTTGTTTCAAATCGGGTATAACATAAAAATCAACATTATGCACTTGTTTTCGAAATTCAACTTTAAGTGTCAGTTTGCCTACCACTGGGCA